TACTGGGATTAAAGACATGCACCACCATCTCCTGGCTACAGTTTAACTTTTTGAAAGATTACAGAAGCAATACCATTAGGAGTACAAGCTCTAAGAAGTAGAAAGTAGAAAACAAAACTGTTCTTTTAAGGGGAAACACATTCTTATAGTATAAAAATCATGTTCCATGCATCACATACATATATACATATACATATATACTCATACATAAATGAGTGAGAACTATATGCTTCACTTTGGATATATTATAAAAACAGGAAATTCTGCTTAAAAGAAGCCAAATTTATTGAGATAATGCTACAGTAAAATACCACTTATGCATGTTGAACCACAGAAAATAAAATTTTATTGCTCAAAGAATATGTCTTTAAGAAAGCTAATATATAAAACTGGATTTTGAATCACACCAAACATATCAATGCTTCTCACAATGAAAGGTAGTGATGCTTTCAAATTAAATCAATACACTTTATTCATTTTCATTGGAAAAGTAATTGAAGCAAACATGATAATAAGTCAGGATCATGGATAGCTATCTTTTATTTTCTCTTACTTCAGAATTGTTATATTGTTATAAAAGTGTTTACTTTCAATCAATTATTTGAATATCTCAAATAAAATATATTTGGGGTAAACTTTTAAGTTATTTCAGTTTATTCTCATATCAAGTTAATCCTGATCTTATAGTTTGATAGTCATAATATTTTACTAAAATAAATCACATAAAAACTTCTCAAGATTTCAAGGTATTCGGGAAATATAGAATATTCTATTTGATCAAGAATAGAAATGTCATTCGTCATGAGATTTATACTCAGTTTTACTTCACATATTTCTGTTTTTTTTTTTTTAAGAAAGATCAGTCTTCCTCTTTGTAGAGAAAATTACTACAAGGTCAGTCCTGGCATTTCATTTGGGAGTTCTCAAGAGAAGCAGAGTGTGTGTCCGTGGTTTTTTTAAGTTATCTGTTTATCTGTGCAGTGTTAAAAGCAGAATTATAAAGAAAATACTATAGTAAAAATAGCACTTATGCATATTAAACAATGCAAATAAAATTTTATTATTTGAAAAAATATCTATCTGTAGAAAGTTAAACTGGACTTTGAAATACACTGCAGATAGCAGAACTACAGACATTAGGGTAGAAAAAACAGGAGTAAGTGCTAAGGCACAAACAGTAAGTACTGAGGTACAAAATGTGTCAGTAATTTGTTGAGTATTCCATTTGTAACACTGGGGTATGCTCCCATCCCTGGGTTACTTATCTTCCTACTGACTGTGCAGCCCCCCTTTTACAACTTCAGTGATATCTTAAAGGCATGAAGTGGATTACATCTCTCCTCTGCCTAATTGTTTTTGTTGATTTTAGGATAAAATAGAAAGCCTCACCTGCCCTTGCTTGTCTGAGCAGTTTATTCTTCCATCCTCATTTTAGCCTACTCTTCCTCTTGAACTCATTCTCTAGTCCAGAGTCTCCTGACCACCACACACTACTCTAATGCAGTTGATTATTTATTCTGCTTTACCTACCATCTAGTAGCTCCTCATCATTAGGAACTCAGTGTCCATTACAGTGGTTAGAATATAGAATATAATAGGCCATCTGCAAATATTTGTAATAAGAAGGAAAAAAAGAGTAGAAAACAACAAGAGAAATGTTTATCCTGAGGATACATGAAATATAAAAATATATGGTATTACTTGGAATTGCATGATTTAAGGAAAAAGCAACAAAGCAGTGTGTCTATCTATGAACCCAAATGATTTTGAAGGGCATGGCTTGAGAGATGATAATAGAACAAACTTCTCCAATGGTCATAGTCACTGAAATAATTCAGTTCTTTATACCTTACTCAACATTAAGGAATGTGATAAATGAAATGTGACAAGAATTATGAAACTCAGAATTAGCACCAAAGCAACCAGATGGTTGTGGACGGCAGAGCCTCCATCACTGGGTCACATGGACACAAGCCTGCTGTACTTATGGTGGACAAGCACCCACTGAACATTTCATTTTTAATGCACCACTATTACTTGTAAATAAAGTCTCCCAGAAGATAGAGAATTGCAAGTATAAGTATAAAAACATAATTGAATTTCAGTAAATTTCCCTTACATTATGATCTAGATTTTTTTATGGTAAAAAATTACTGATTTCTGCTAAATACATTTCTAACATTGAATTTGCTGTGTCAAGTAATGTCATATGTCCAGAATTATGACTGAAAAATATTGGAGAAATTAAAATGAAAATTGATTTTACAAATACCACAAAATTAGTAAATACTTGTAAAGCAAATGAAGACTGGTAAGAGGCTGGTCAGGAGGCTTCAATACTATATGCTAAATCTCCTGAAATCTTTGATTAGCAAAAAGTGTGTCTTTAAGACATTAATACACAACTCTCCATCTTCATTTAGTATTTAAATATGTCTCCAATCCTAAATATCTTTTGACATATATTTATAATTTCTCATTCATTTCTGAAGATCTAGAAGTATGTGTCATTTGTCTAAATGACTTTCAATTTCCCATTTTAATATATGGTATGAAAAGACTCAGAATGTTGCTGTCTTATTTGCTATTATAACCAATTTTCCTATCTTTATTTTTTGAGTTTTTTTTATAATCACATCAACTGAAAACCTCAGTGATCACTCTTTTGATGTATGATGTCCTTCCATATGCTGTGACTATATATCTCTCTCACTGGTTAGTGAATAAAGCTGTTTAATTCTAAGGCCAGGGAGAATAGAGCCAGGCAAGAAATTCAAAGTTACAGAGATAAAGAATGCAGAGTTAGGGAGACATCTTGTAGCCATAGAAGGAGTAACATGCTAGGGTATCACAGATAAGCCATGGCCATGTGGTGATACACAGATTAGCAGAAATAGATTAATTTAATTGTGAGAGTTAGTCAATAATATGCCTAAGACATTGGTCAAACATTTAAAATTAATATTAAGTCTCTGAATGGTTGTCTAGTAAGCTGTTGTAGGGAAAGCAGGGCAGCTAGAAACAAGTTCAGTGAGACCAGGTGAGACAGAGAAAATCTCTGTTTATACTCTTTTCTACTTAAGAATTTTTGAGCAGGCCAATGGTGGCACACACCTTTAATCCCAGCACTTGGGAGGTAGAGGCAGGCTGATCTCTATGAGTTCCAGGGCAGCCTGGTCTACCGAGTGAGTTCCAGGACAACTAATGCCATTATACACAGAAACCATGTCTCAAAACAAAACAAACAAAAAACCCACCAAAACCAAAAACAACAATAACAAAAAAGTTTTTCACAGAGTTTCTAAGCCATAAGTAATAAATTATGATTAAAAAATTGTGTGATAATGCCTAGAATAAAGCCACAGTCTCAGTCAGGGTGGATGTGAGATTTTCAGAATGGTCTTATTCTGTCGCAACCTATCCTATCAAACATTGGTCCATTCAGTGAATGTTGGTCGAGTGCTTAGTATGTGTTTAACATTTTTTTTTTCAAAATTCTGGTAGATAATGATGGGTCAAACCCAAAACTGCCTCTGCCTGCATGGAATTTAATTTTTTTTTCAAAATTCTAGTAGATAATGATGAGTGAAACCCAAAACTGCCTCTGCCTGCATAGAATTTAATATCTACTATGTGACAACTACCAAGCAGAAAATTAGGATGGGTTTAGGAGAAAAAAAATGTATAGCACTGTCCAAAAAGGAACTAAAGATAAATAGAGTTCAAGTTTTATCATATGAATTTAATTCCAGGGTTCTTATTTTCCTAATTCAGTATTGAAAACAGTGAACTATATTTTCTTTTATTTTTTTAGAAACAATGAGAAGCTTTTGAAAAATTAGAACTTAAAATTCAATGCATACTGCAGACCCTTAACATTTTCAATTCTGTTTTAAGCAGCTATACCAAAGAAGGACCAAGACTGTGGAAAATGACAAACCTACTTATCTCTTACTTCATTTCCTTTGTCTGGGTCTGAACAAAAGTTTATGTTACAATTGCTTTATTTTAAACTGGGCAGAACTACTCATAATTTCTTGAAAAGTGACAGAATCAAGAAAAGGGACAGGGACTTACAGATGAAAGACTATCATACCTGGTTCTCATAGCATTTTGCTTCTTTCTCTCCCGCAAGCACCACAGGCCCAAGTATGGTGCTTCTGCCCACACCTCTGCACGAGGCTAGCTTTGTGAATAATTTTTTTTTTATTTTTTATTTTTTTTTTGATTTTTCGAGACAGGGTTTCTCCGTAGCTTTTGGGTCCTGTCCTGGAACTAGCTCTTGTAGACCAGGCTGGCCTCGAACTCCCAGAGATCCGCCTGCCTCTGCCTCCCGAGTGCTGGGATTAAAGGCGTGCGCCACCACTGCCCGGCCTTAAGTTTTTTTTTTTAATTTATTTATTTATTAAGGATTTCTGCCTCGTCCCCGCAACCGCTTCCCATTTCCCTCCCCCTCCCCCGATCAAGTCCCCCTCCCTCATCTGCTCGAAGAGCAATCAGGGTTCCCTGACCTGTGGGAAGCCCAAGGACCACCCACCTCCATCCAGGTCTCCTAAGGTGAGCATCCAAACTGCCTAGGCTCCCACAAAGCCAGTACGTGCAGTAGGATCAAAAACCCACTGCGATTGTTCTTGAATTCTCAGTATTCCTCATTGTCCGCTATGTTCAGCTAGTCCGGATTTATCCCATGCTTTTTCAGACCTAGGCCAGAAGATGTGAGCATTGACTATGAGTGGGACTCCCCAGCTGTGCAGCTCTTCATGAGTCACCCAGAAGACTGGGGGTCCCCTCAGTGGTGCAGCAGCCTTTGAGTCACCCAGCCTTCTGTAACCCATTGATTCACCAAAAGGGACTTGAATAGACTCAGTGCCATCTCTGTCTGAAGTGATCAGATATTCATTTCCTTTGCATATAAATAAATTTATTTTTATTTAAAAAAAAAAAGACTATCATACCAAATCAATGTAAAAGACAAAAGAGAGAATTTAGAGAACACTTACTGATAGGTAGTTGGGCTGACGTTGATACGCCGAGGATGACTTCCCGATTCAAATTTGCTTGCCAATGTGACATTATTTCCAAAAAGACAATATCGTGGCATTCTCACCCCAACTACACCAGCTAGCACAGAGCCTGAATGAATGCCTATCCGCATCTGGAAATAGAAAAAAGTTGGAGACTAAATAGTTGTTTCTATTTTCCATGCAATAGACTTTTTATTAAATTGTATTTTAAGAAAATGGTTGTTTTGTGTGTGTATATATATATATATATATATATATATATATATATATATATCCATATGCATATCTAGGCCTCTAGGAAGCCAGAAGAGAATGTGAGAGCCTCTGAAACTGCAGTTAAAGGCAGTTGTTAGCCACCATATGCATTCTGGGAATAGAAACTATCCTCTGCAGGAATGGTGATCTTAAGTGTTGAGTCATCTCTCCAGTCCTGGCATGAAACTGTTTCAATGAAACATGTTACCAAATATTAAATAATTAAACCAGAGTAATCCCAAAGACTGAAACTAGTCTAGGTCATCATTGTGAGACTAATATCTAGTTTGTTACAATGTTCAATGAACGTGGATATTGTAGAATAAATAAATAAAATAGATTAATTATAAGAACAAGATATGAAGTCTTTTTAAAAATATTTAATTTATTTTTAACTTTGTGTGTGCTTATAGATGAGTACCTTCACATATATTTAAGGACCCAGAAAGGTCAGAGAGAATGTTGAATCTATGGAGCTGGAGTTAGAGGTAATTTGAGCTGCCTAATTATAAGTGCAGGGAACTATGTTCATTTGGAAGAACAGCATTCTTTCTTAACTGTTGAACTATGTCTCTAGGTCAGAATTCATAGCTAACTTGCTACATAAATATGTTTCAGGTTTAATCTGTTTCATTTGTATATACTATCTATAAGTGAAACATTTATTATTCTCTATCAAATTATTTCTACAAGAAGACTTATTATACCTCATGACATTAATTTCACTTTTAAATTAAATGTATATATATATATATATATACTTGTTTCAAGTACTGAATTTTACATGATAACAGTATGTATACCTATTTTCTTACTGTTAAATATTCAGGAATACATACAGAATAATACCTCTGGAGACTCTCAATAAGTAAGTCATGAATGTGGAAGAAATTGCCTAAGTCTTTGATATAGTAATATGGTATTACAAACAATTCAACCAACCCTTGACTAAGTCAAAGATTTATTGATTGAATGATGAGTAAATTAGTCACTGTACCTGATAAAGATTAATGTGTTCAAGACCTGAAGTAACCTTCAATATACAATTGCTACACAGTGAAACATGAAGGGACCAACACAGTTCTATCAATAGAGTATATAACCAAACAACTAAAGCTAGGAGACAAAGTAGGAGGTGAGAGAGAGGGAGGGAGAGAGAGAGAGAGAGAATGTCATTATGGAACGGATGGTTTCTGAATGTATCAACTCATGATAAGAGAGACACACTGGTCCTTGGGCTTCCCACAGGTCAGGGAACCCTGATTGCTCTTCGAGCAGATGAGGGAGGGGGACTTGATTGGGGGAGGGGGAGGGAAATGAGAAGCGGTTGCGGGGAGGAGGCAGAAATCCTGAATAAATAAATAAATTTAAAAAAATAAAATAAGCCCTGTTTAGTTGCTGAGGAATCCCATCAGGACGGGTGAGTGTGTGCTATCCAGGGGCGGACTGACCCGGAAGAGAGCACAAACCCCCTCCCCCAGCTCCTTCTGCAGGGCTGTCTTTCTTTCGCACGACCCAGCCCCCCCAGCACCCCTCCCCAACCCTGCCCTGCTGTATGCTAGGACCAGTGCTCAAGTACAGTTTCAAGCTCCTAATCTAAGGCGACCCACCCAGAGCGGTGAGTGCCTGCCTACCGGGCAGGCCTCAGGGTCCCCTGTAAGGGAGCCGGGCACCTTCAGCTCCAGCGCCAGGCTTCCTGCACGCTCCTGGATACCATCCCCCCCTTGCTCCATTCATCCTGTTGGCCCTGGATCATTGGGCTACCTGCGGCCCTGTTTAGTTGCTGAGGAATCCCATCAGGACGGGTGAGTGTTTGCTATCCAGGGGCGGACTGACCCGGAAGAGAGCACAAACCCCCTCCCCCAGCTCCTTCTGCAGGGCTGTCTTTCTTTCGCACGACCCAGTCCCCCCAGCACCCCTCCCCAACCCTGCCCTGCTGTATGCTAGGACCAGTGCTCAAGTACAGTTTCAAGCTCCTAAACTAAGGCGACCCACCCAGAGCGGTGAGTGCCTGCCTACCAGGCAGGCCTCAGGGTCCCCTGTAAGGGAGCTGGGCACTTTCAGCTCCTGTGCCAGGCTTCCTGCGCATTCCTGGATACCATCCCCCCCCCCCTTGCTCCATTCATCCTGTTGGCCCTGGATCATTGGACTACCGGCAGCCCTGTTTAGTTGCTGAGGAATCCCATTGGGACGGGAACGGTTCCTGCTTCTACACTGAAGAGATATACCCAGAGAGTCAATCACAGCAAAGGCTGGACCAAGAGACCAGGCCTCTCCTGGCTCCATTTGAAGGAAGAGATGGGAAGGCGCCAATACAAGAATTCCTCCAACAACCTGAAAGGCAACATGACACCACCAGAAACCAGGGATCCCGAAATAAGAAGAATTGTACACCCTACTCCTGAAGAAATAGAAGAAATCGATTCAAAAGTGAACTATATGAAAATAATAGAGGACCTTAAACAGGAGGTGAAAAACTGCCATAAACAATTAGAGATTACAAACAAAAAGGTAGAGGAAATGAATAAATCGCTCAAAGACACGCAAGAAAACCAAGAGAAACAAGAAAAAGCAATCAAACAGGTTAGGGAAGCGGTTCAAGACATGAAGAATGAAATGGAAGCAATGAAGAAAGCACAAACTGAGGGAAGAATGGAGATGGAAAATCTGGGTAAATGAACAGGAACGACAGAGACAAATACTAACAACAGATTACAAGAGATAGAAGAGAGAATATCAGACACTGAAGACACCATAGAGAATATAAACACACTGATCAAAGAAAACAGCAAAACCAACAAATTCTCATCACAAAACATTCAGGAAATTTGGGACACAATAAAAAGACCAAACCTAAGAATAATTGGAGTAGAAGAAGGAGAAGAAGTGCATCTCAACGGTACAGAAAATATACTTAATAAAATTATAGAAGAAAACTTTCCCAACCTGAAGAAAGAGGTATCTATGAAGGTTCAAGAAGCATACAGAACACCAAATAGGCTGGATCAAAAAAAAACATCCCCTCGCCATATAATAATCAAAACACAAAATATACAGAATAAAGAAATTAAGAGCCGCAAAGGAAAAAGGCCAAGTTACTTATAAAGGTAAACCTAGCAGACTTACACCTGACTTCTCTATGGAAACCATGAAAGCCAGAAGGTCCTGGATAGATGTACTGAAAAAACTAAGAGATCATGGATGCAAGCCCAGACTACTATATCCAGCCAAGCTTTCGTTCACTATAAATGGAGAAAACAAAATTTTCCAGGATAAAAACAAATTTAAACAATACGTAGCCACAAATCCAGCCTTACAGAAAATTATAGAAGGAAAATCACTAACCAAGGAGTCCAACAATGCCCACAATAACTCAGTCATCTAGAGACCTTTCACCAGCGAAACTCAAAGAAGGGAAACACACAAACCCTACTACTAAAAAAGTGACCGGAGTTAACAACCACTGGTCATTAATATCACTTAATGTCAATGGGCTCAACTCACCTATAAAAAGGCACAGGCTAAGGGATTGATACGAAAACAGGATCCAACATTCTGCTGTCTACAAGAAACACACCTCAACCAGAAAGACAGGCACCTACTCAGAGTAAAGGGCTGGGGAAAGGCTTATCAAGCAAATGGACCTATGAAACAATAGGTGTGGCCATACTAATTTCTAACAAAGTTGACTTCAAACGTAAATCAATCAGAAGAGATGGAGAGGGACATTTTATACTCATAACAGGAACAATTCATCAGGATGAAGTCTCAATCCTGAATATCTACGCCCCTAATATAAAAGCGCCCACGTATGTAAAAGAAACATTACTAAAACTCAAGGCAGCCATCAAACCACACACACTAATAGTAGGAGACTTCAACACTCCTCTCTCACCAATGGACAGGTCAATCAAACAAAAACGTAACAGAGAAATTAGAGAATTAATGGAGGTAATGAAGCAAATGGACTTAACAGACATCTATAGATTATTCCACCCGAAGAGGAAAGAATATACCTTCTTCTCTGCAGCTCATGGAACCTTCTCGAAAATTGACCACATACTCGGTAGCAAAGCTAACTTACACAGTTACAAAAAAATATTAGTAACCACCTGCGTCTTCTCAGATCACCATGGATTAAAGTTAGAATTCAACAACAATGCTACCCCCAGAAAGCCTACAAACTCATGGAAACTGAACAGTCAACTACTGAACCATACCTGGATTAAGGAAGAAATAAAGAAAGAAATTAAAGTCTTCCTTGAATTCAATGAAAAAAAAGAAACAACATACTCGAACTTATGGGACACTATGAAAGCAGTCCTAAGAGGAAAGTTCATAGCACTAAGTGCCCACTTAAAGAAAACAGAGAAAGCTCATATTGAAGACTTAACAGCCCACCTGAAAGCTCTAGAAAATAAAGAAGCAGACTCACCTAGGAGGAGTAGAAGATTGGAAATAATCAAACTGAGGGCTGAAAGCAACAAAATAGAAACACAGAAAACAATGCAAAGAATCAATGAAACAAAAAGCTGGTTCCTGGAGAAAATCAACAAGATTGATAAACCCCTATCCAAACTAATCAAACGGCAGAGAGTGAATACGCAAATTAATAAGATCAGAAATGAAAAGGGGGACATAACCACAGACACAGAGGAAATTCAGAGAATCATCAGATCTTATTACAAAAGCCTGTATAACACGAAACTGGAAAATGTAAAAGAAATGGACACGTTTTTTGATAAATACCAATTACCAATACTAAACCAGGACCAGGTGAACAATCTAAACAGACCTGTCAGTCGCGAATAATTAGAAGCTGTTATCAAAAACCTCCCTACCAAAAAAGCCCAGGACCAGATGGTTTCAATGCGGA